ATGATCTATTAATAAGTCTTCAAAACAACATGTTAATATAATCACACTAATATTACAAAGGAAGAGGAAGACCGAAGATAATATGGATGGATTGTGTGAAAGAGAATATGCTTAAGAAAGGAGTGGATTCAGATATGACGGCTGATAGAGATGTATGGAAGAGCAGCACATACTGTGCCGACCCTCCATAAGGGATAAGAGCAAGTTGATGATGATTGTAAATGCGAAAGTTTAGATGGATGGATGTTTGTTAGAGTTTGTAGCCTAAATGAACTAACGGAATTTGATGAAATTTGGCAAAGATGTAGAAGATAGTCTGGAAGAACACAAAGGCTACTCGCTTTTGTTTTTAATTAATTGTACGCGGGAAGAGTCGCAGAAAAAATCTACACATACTAATATTATAAATGGGAAAGTTTAGATGGATGGATATTTAAGTTTGTAGCCTAAACGACTGTGGTTCGTCGTGTCAACTATTAGAGCGTGGGCACACTTTTGAATAAACTAATTCACAATTTTGCGATTGTCGATTGTTTTGCAACTGTTTAGTTGCACAACTAAAAATCGAGTAGTGTCTCTCATAAAATGGGCATCTCTATATAAACTCATAGGAATCAAAGCGAGATCACACAGTCGTGCGATAGTTTAGTCAAAGGTGTGCCGGATGTTCGTTAGTCTATGTATTTCTATAATGACTTTCAGATATCTCAATTAGTTTGCTGCAAAGCCGTAGGTAGGAATATTTCAGGCCCAGGCTTTATTAGGAACGTGCTCTGATCCAATAAACGTGAGAGCATTTCAATACGATTTCAAACGTTTTAATTACTCGATTACAGCTTAAAAAGAATGCATTTTGAACTATTAGACAGGACGTGATCAAACCGTAGTATGGTTAAAATACATGAGGTAAAGTTTGTGTCCTAATAAATGTAATCTCTAACACACTACTAGTAATAACTAGCTGTTCTCGTGCGACTTCAGCCGCATGAAATTATGAAAATTTTATTTTATTATTTATATTAAAGGCGTAAAAATATATAGCCTAAAGCATGAACTAAGTGTAGGGCTTTTTATTAAAAAAAGAATAATTCAAAAACATACTATAATTGCTGACATATTAGGCAACAAAGAAGTGTGTGTTTACGCTTTATTATAATAGTATAGATAATATAATAAACAAATTAAGGCCTTTCATTCATATTCTTCATACCTTACTCTATAGCCCTGTAAAGGCCTTTGCTTAGTCCAGAAACTTTTGCCATTTAGCCATCTCTGGCCATGGTCGACCAGATATATGCCAAGACTTAAAATGATTAGAAGCTTTCGCCCTCGACTCCGTCCGCGTGGAATAAAAAAAGTAAGTAACCTTTGTGACTATCCTCTACATTTATGCCAAATTTCATATCCGTTAGTTTAGGCTACAAACTCTAACAAACTTCCATCCATCTAAACTCCCGAATTTATAATATACGTAAGAAATAAAATGTAATATTTTTTAAAAGTTATTTAAAATATCGGATTCTCAATAAAGCTTTTGGCTTCCAAAAGTTGAAATGTTAAAATCAAAACAAACAATTCGAACAAACAATTCCCTTTAGTAACCACTTTTGTATAAAATATTGAAACAAACATGAATTTTAATTAAACAATCGAATATAGCCCAAAAGTATTAGCTTTAAAAACTTTTGTATTCATAAAAAAAAACATCAAAAACCTTATCCATATTTCAGAAAATATTTTTATATCAAAAACCATATTCAAATTGCGTACTTCTTTGTTTCATTGTATAAAAGAATGATATAATAAAAACATTACAGAATACGAGAAACAAAACGTATAAGAACATGAATTGATTTATTTCGAAAACAATGGTATGATTTTTGTCTTTTTCCTTTCACATTCCTGGCAATTTTTAGAACAGAAAAGGAGTTCTTTTCAATCACAGAAGAGACGGCGCATCCCTAAGCTATTTAAAACAAAAACCTTATAACTTCTGAATTTCTTATTATCGAAGGAAATTACCTCCCTAACCTTTTTTTCGCTCAGATTATATAAAACTACCTGTTCCCGTGCGACTTCATCCGCATGGAATTATGAAAATATTATTTTATTATTTACATTTGTCAAATTATAAATAGCAAATATCATAATGACATGACATGACAAACCTTAGCAATCTTTCTTGATGTTGGCAGCAACTTATGGTCTCTTTCCAGCTTTAAGATGAAAGGCGTGAAAATATATAGCCTAAAGCGTGACGTAAGTGTAAGGCTTTTTATTAAAGAAAGAATTATTCAAATATATGCTGTGATTGCTAACGTCCTATGTCACGAAGTATTGTGTGTAAGCTTTAAAATAGTAGTTTAAATAGTGATAAATTTGTGTTAGGTTGAACTAATTTGCAACAGAGTAAAACTCAAGTTCCGTAGTTTGGAGACGCATTTTATAAAATTATTGAACCAGAAACACTAACGTGCGGTTAAAAGTAGCTGGAAAACCGGACATTAGGAGCACCCGAAATCGACAAAGCTAGGACCATACTGTGCCAAAAATACGTAAAAAAAATTAGTTAGAAAATATGATTTTTTTGTCAAGTAAAATCTCTATATCTATACGTATAATAAAATTGGAGTGTCTGTTTGTAATATCTAAAGAAAAAATTTCAGATTTCGGGAAGATGATGTATTTGCGTTACTAATAACGAAAATCGCATACAACATTTTTTTGTCTACCCGTCTGTCTGTATGCAAGCCGCGTTGGTTTCGGGTAATCTCCGAAACGGCTGGGCCAATTTTGTCCGGACTCTCATTGATAGGTAGCTGACATAGACGGGCATGTTATAGGCTACTTTTTATCTTATTATTGCGTGGACGAAGTCGCGGGTAACAGTTAGTATGAAATATAATTTAAAGAAAGTATTTTTCTCTATTTAGGAGACGTAGCAAATAATTTAAGATACTTTCCTTAATTTATAAAAAAGGCTGGATACTTTACCTAACAATGACGTAATAACTCTTTTTTTAATATTCCAAATTGCCGCAACCAGAGCGAAACGAGAGTACATCATCTAAACGTGTTTCCACTCCTTGAAACAAATATTAATACAAATTCTTGTCTTTTAAGAAAAATGAGAAATGACATTTATGTATGAGTCTTTCAGTGATGAAAATCTACGGCTCCTACGACTTGAGTTATTTTTGTTTTTATTTGTCCTTATTGTCCGACTTCCCAAAAGAAGTACTCAATTGGTCTGTATGTTTTTTTATGTGTGTTACGGCATAATGTAATCCCTTTTTTCTATTTAACCAAATCGTAAATATATTACCCAGATTAGGGAAATCTGAGGTTATAGGTCACCGGAAAATGAGCTAACAATTGTCTATTTTAACTAGGTATCACACGCGACTCCGCGTTGAATTAAAAACAACAAAAGTAAGTAGCCTGTGTTCTTCTAGAGTATCCTCTATGTACGCCTTTCATCAAGATCCGTTCAGTCGCCTCGGTGGCAAACTTTAACAAACATCCATCCATCTAAACTTTCGCATTTAATATATTAGTTACCCGTTTTGTATTTTATTTATCAGAAAAAGACTAATGACTGTGTTTATATACAAGTATTTAAACAATGAAAACTCAGAGAAAGTATTCCTCAGTTTATTCAGTCAGAGTGTTGAATAGTGTTTAAAGACGCCTCTAAATTACTCCGACTTTAGCACGCCCATTAAACCAGTGATGCTCTTCAAAATGGCGGCTGTGACTTCACAAAAACTACTTCAAAGAACTAACCAACGTTATTTTAACACTAGCTGTTCCCGTGCGACTTCATCGGCATAAAATTATGAAGATTTTATTTTATTGTTTACATTAGTCAAATTATCAATTGCATGTCAAAATGACATGACGATGACAAACCATGGCAACGTTGCTTCCTTGATGTTGGCAGCAACTTATGGTCTCTTTACCACATTAGGGTTTTTATCCAAAATATTTACCCCCTAAGTTTAATGGCGTAAAATATATAACCTAAAGCGTGACGTAAGTGTAGGGCTTTTTATTAAAAAAGAACTATTTAAAAATATGTTGTAATTGCTGACATCTTAGGCAACAAAGAAGTGTGTGTTTATGCTTTATTATAATAGTATAGATACAGATTTGCATGTCACTTCAACAGATGCGAACATAGGGAAGGGTATTGAATCCGTAAAAACACTGTTTAGTTAAACACGTGTTTTAACTCTGTCGCTGATTGGTATAGACGTCAACATGGTTATATTTAGTTATAAATATTTATCACCACACTGCTTTCTGTATATCATTTACTAGGTGTCGCCCTCGACTCCGTCCTCGTGGAATTAGATAAAAATAAAAGTGTAAGTGAGCCTATATGTTCTTCCAGACTACCCGTTACATTTATAACAAATTTCATTGAAATCCGTTCAACTGATAAAACTACAAACTTTAACAAACACCCTTCCATCCAAACTCGCATTTATAATTATAAAATAAGTATGACTTATCAACATTGCATTTCAGAAGCTAATGTTTCCGTGATGATTTACCAAACCATTTTAGATGTATACATCGATTTCTAGAGTGCGACATTCAATTTTTCGCATTTAAAATATGACTACATACTTCCATACTTCGAAAAGTTAAAAGTTTTAAATATGAATTGCATATTATTTATTTATATATGTAATCCATGATTAAAACTATTTATTTTGATAATAAAAAGTTAATAATCTTGTAAAAAAAATAAAGAAATTATTCATAAAACTCTTCCAGACTATGTTCTACATCTGTGCCAAATTTCATCGAAATACGTTAAACTTCTCCGGAAATAATAACAAACATCCATCTATCCATTTAGGTCTTTAAATTCATAATATTAGTAAGAATGTAATAGATAAAATTGAGTGTATTATTGTAAAAATTAAATATTAACTAGACAAATCTACATTTCAAATGATATTTTAATAAATCAATTTCACTAATCTTACCTGAAATTTGCTAGAAATAAAATTGATCACATAATTTCTAAACCGTCCAAGAAATAATGTTAGTTAAACGTCCTCGACCGAAAATGTTCAAAGGTTATTTTCATCTATAACAATTTGGCACAAACAACAAAGTCAAAAACAAGTGTACACTTCGCAGCGAAAAAACTTTCACACTACACGTCCCAAATCACAACACGCGATATTAAATTTATTAAACCTTTATCCGTTTTCGATTTTTAAAACTCGCGTGTTCGAATTTCGAACGATGTTAATACGTCCGTTGGTAACCACGGTTGGGTTGCGACTGAAATTCTGAAAATACATACGGTACACTTCTGAAACGGGAGGAACAGAGAGGTGGATCTCGCATCTCTTTCTTGCCTTCTGAAAATGCTGAATGCAGCACCGAGCAGACGACACAAAATGATTGGAATGCAGTAAGATATTTATAATAGTAACAAGAATTAGACTTTGCTTTTCTTTCAATGAATATCTAGCTCTGACATTTTTAAACACCTGATTTTAATTTTTAATCTACGAGTATACTTCTTTACTTAAAATTGAATTAATCTATACTCTATACTATTATAATAAAGCGTAAACACACACTTCTTTGTTGCCTAAGATGTCAGCAATTGCAGCATATTTTTGAATATATATTTTTAATAAAAAGCCCAACACTTACTTTATGCTTTAGGCTATATATTTTCACGCCATTAACTTAAGGGGTAAATATTTTGGAAAAAAAACTTATGTGGGAAAGAGACCATAAGTTGCTGCCAATATCAAGGAATCAAGGGTGCCATGGTTTGTCATCGTCATGTCATTTTGACATTTGCATTTGATAATTTGACACATGTAAACAATAAAATAAGATTTTCATAATTTTATGCGGATGAAGTCGCACGGGAACAGCTAGTAATTTATATTGCAAAAAGTGTGAAAGTGTGGTTTCATTTGGAACAAGAGTGCATACATGTATCTTACACACTGTCAATAGAGTACAGTACAAAGAGATGCAATTATTTTTAAAGGACTTGCCAACAAAGGCACACACGGCGTGCGTCCACACTCTCAGAGATAAAACCTTTTACATGCATTTTTAATCTGTGTCATATAACATCAATTTAATCTGCAATTTATTAAATTTAATTAAACCACTTTATTTGGATGGAATTGTAACGATGTCAAAGTCAAGGACGTGTCGCCTTTAGAGCGTCATCTTTTACTAAACAATCGAAAGACAGTTGTGCGATCGTCGATTGTTTCGCAGCCTTCAACTGTTTAGTTGCACAACTAAAATGGAATAGTATGTGCACCTCCATATAAGCTCATAGGAAACAGAGCGAGACTAAAAAGTTATTTTATTTTCTATTTTTTTTAAATATTGTATGTGTTCTAGTTTTTTACAGAGAGAGAAAATATTTCCACGACTTAAATATGTTAGATGCAATATTTCGACACATGTTAAATACAAAAATGTATACTAATAGTTCGGCGGCCAATCGGTATTCCGAGATACGCTTTTTTGGCTCCACGATCCTCCCCCATTCTCATCAAGTGGCCCAGCCAGCGAAATCTCTGGGCTTTGACTTCGCCTATGATGTTTGGCTCCCCCACCAGCCTTTCTATTTCCAGGTTGTATCGTGCGCGCCAGCTCCCGTCTCCTCTTTGTGTCGAACCCAGAATCGTCCGCATTATTTTTCTCTCCGCTCCTAGTAGCTTCTCCTCTTCTTTTAGCGTTTATCTTGGCCGCTGACCCGTCGGCCGGCCCAGATACCGCTGGCGAGACGCCGTAGAGCTGGACCTGCGAGAGCTAGAGTCGTTCAACTGGCAGGCGACAACGCAGGACAGACGACGCTGGCGCTCTCTCGTGTCGGAGGCCAAGACCCACTTTGAGCCGCTGCGCCAACGCAGTAAGTAAGTAAGTATACTAATAGTTCATAAAACGGAATACCGTTTTAAAGAGTTATAAAGATTTTATAGCTAGAGTTAACCTAAAAGAAATGCTTATAGACCAAAGTATTGACTATGAAATATTTTACTACTGCAACTACGATTGTATAACTCGATATTTACGATACGACAATAAACATTTTAAAGCTTAGATCTTACTTATAATAGAAAATAAGTCTTTTGATAGAAATCAATGCATAATTAAAGGGAAAAATCAAAAATACAGAAATAGTATCCATTTTAACTTGACCTCTAGTGTAAGGTTTTTAGGTAGTGTTCAAACTAATATGGATAAGTACTATGAAAAATTAATTAAGAAAACCTTTAAAAAGAAGTAAGATCCGCAAAAAATATCAAATATAAAAAAGTCTTGCTTTCTCTACAAAAGTTTTTAGATGTCATCAAAACCTAATCATTTTAGTTAGTGTCTATTATGAAGTCTAGGCAATTACACGGCGCCATTTATCATCTACTTGCCCTTATCCCTTACGGAGGGTCAGCACAGTATGTGCTCTTCCATACATCTCTATCAGCCTTATCTGAATCCACTCCTTTCTTAAGCATATCCTCTTTCCCACAATCCATCAATGCTTTCTTCTATTCTTTAAATTAACATACGTGATTATCGATAGCTTTGTTTAGGTTTAGATAAAAATGGAATAAACAGCAATTGGTGTTCTTTCGAATTTATGGCACTGTGTAATTTCCAAGGCTTCATAATAGACACTAACTAAAATGACTAGGTTTACATGACATCTAACACACTTAAAGGAAAGCGAGACTCGGGAGTTTTATTATGTTTTTTTTTTCGTGGGATTTAAGTATATAGGTTATACTATAACTGCATTTTTTTTATAAATACAATGAAAAAACTTAAAGGCCTGTCCCACCAAAAAGTAAATTGCTTGATAACAATCTAACGTATAATATGTGAAGGATATATCGGATTTTGTTACCTTATCTGACAGTGACTTATTTTTTAAGCTATCTGAGCCTCTATCAGCCAGTGGTGGGACAGGGATGTGACTAAAGAATAATATAACAAGATATGAAAACTATGTTTCGTAAATAGTATCGAAGATTAGGTTGTAATACTAAACACAAACACTATTATTGGAAATCTATTAAAGCTTCAAACAAGCTACCTTACGAGCCATAAAAGTAACGTAAGAGGTTATATTTACAGTTAGTGCTGTCGCGTAAAAATGATGATACAGAAAGGAAAAAACAATTGAACATCTAATATTCTAAATTCAAAAGTTGGATGGATGTTAGAGTTTGTAGACGCTGCTGAACGGTTGAACTTTGGTATAGATGTAGAGTCTGGAAGAACACATAGGCTACTTTCTTTTATGTTTTTAATTTAATAACGGAGTCGCGAGAGATTTTGGGCATAATGTGTCTATAAAATACTAGTTGTTGCTCGCGACTTCGCCCGCATGGAATTAAAGTATAGCCTATATTACTCACAGATAAATTACCTTTCGAACGGTAAAAGAATTTTTAAAATTGGCCCAGTAGTTTTTGAGTTATTTCAATAAATACAAAAATATAAAAATACAAATCTTTCATCTTTATAACATTAGAATAGGTTATTTCAATATTCGAAGGTGAGTTTGTATTTGACGTTAATTTCCTTTTCAATGATGAATTTGATACAACTTCAGAAATAAACGATCACAAATGTACGTGTTTTATTTCTTAGTATTTAAAAGTAAAAAAGCTTTATTAAGGCATCTAGAAATGTCATCCCTTCAGGTGTTTAGGCTACAAACTCTAATAAAAGTCCATCCATCTAAACTTTCGCATTTATATTAGTAAGATGTAGCAAAAACAATGTAGAATGTATATTAACATTACAAGGGTGAAATATTTATATTTTTGTATGTATCAAAATAACTCAAAAACTACTTGGCCGATTTCAAAAATTCTTTCAACATAAAAAAGCTACGTTATCAGTAAGTAACATAGGCTATTTTTTAATTTTACGGAATGAAGTTGCGTGCAACAGCTAGTTACTAAATAAGCTATTTCGCATAATTGTCGGGGTCAATTTTGAATTGATTAGTTGTAACGTGAAATGTTTAGTATTAAATACTTACAAAAATAATTCAAACGACATTTAAATTAACAACTGTGTCTAAAATAACGCCACGCTTAAGCTCCAAATTCCATAAAATTTTAACGTCTTTCAGATTGTAAGCTCTTGCGAAATGAATCTGTACTTCTATAGTATTATAATAAAGCGTAAACACACACTTCTTTGTTGCATAAGATGTCAGCAATTACAGCATATTTTTTTTATAATTCTATTTTTAATAAAACGTCCTATACTTGCGTCACACTTTAGGCTATATATTTTAACGCCATTAAACTTAGGGGGTTATTATTTTGGATAAAACCTCAAATGTAGGAAAGAGACCATAAGTTGCTGCCAACATCAAGGAAGCAAGGTTGTCATCATGTTATATTATTTTGACAATTTGTTAGATGTAAACAATAAAATAAAATTTGCATAATTTCATGCGGTTGAAGTCGCACGGGAACAGCTAGTTAATATTCGTTTCAGAATTCATCTGTAAACACATTGTAAGTGTTTTGTAAAGCATAGAAAATATCCAAACGTATAACCGTCCAAAATATGGAATACAAATAGTAAATATAAAATCACTTATAATACAATCTCCCTCAAAACTTTTACATTATCGTCTGTAAATGTAAGTTAACGAAAGGCATTAAAATGATATATAGACGAGGCATAACAAAATGTTTACACCGGTACTTTCTTTAAAAGGTTGTCAGTTGTCAAGTTTAGTATCTCGTGTGCTTGCATTGACAAGTAATAAGCCATTATATAAAAATCTAATAAACTCCATCTTTTCTTATAAAATAAACAAAACAGTGTTACAAAATAAAACTTAAATGTTTTGGGCCTGTCCCATCACTGGCTGATAGTGGGTCAGATAGCTTAAAAATTATCACTGTCAGATAAGGAAACAAAATCAGATTATACCATCACATGTTTTATACGTTAGATTGTTCATATTCCTTCCTTGATGTTAGCAGCATGGTCTCTTTCCCACATCAGAGTTTTTATCCAAAATATTTACTCCCTAAGTTTAATGGCGTGGAAATATATAGCCTAAGGCAAGACGTAAGTGTAGGGCTTTTTATTATGAAAAGAATTTTTTAAAAATATGCTGTAATTGCTGACATTTTAGGCAACAAAGAAGTGTGTGTTTACGCTTTATAATAATAGTACAGATGTCAGTAAACAATATGTGATAGACTTCTCAAGTGAAGAGTCAATGCCTGCTCTATATATTC